GGACAGCGGTGAGTAGTAAAGCCAGCCTGCCTCCTGTACAACAGTGATCGGTGGCCATGACAGATAAACTGCAAGACGGAGGGTGCTGATCCAGTGCCCAGAAGTGAATAAGGCACCAAACTGGGCACAGGACTATTTCAGATCATACTGTAGCTGTGCGGAGATCAATCTCCCCTCACACAGGCATGAGGCTTCCTGGTTTATCAAGTGTGTACATGGACATTATCTCATTGAATCCTGATAACAATCCAGCCAGTTAGATGTGGTTGTTCTCGTTGTAGAGATGAGAAGGTACAGAGGCAAAGCAACCTCAACATTGGGTGGGCGTGGAACACAAGATTTTGGACATATGGGACCTGCATAGTTTAATGGGATGGTAGAGGTGGCAACCAGTCCAACGGTACCTGGCACACTGGGGTACCCATGCCCCTTTCTCTATTTTCTTCCCTAAGTCCTTCTAATCTTAACATCCTTGAACAGGAGTTCCTGAAAGGCCCTCTGGTCCCCGGAGATGTACCTGAACAACATCCATGGTTTTCTGGCTACTTGGGGGCAGTTCTGCCCTGGATGAGATGCAGCTGTAAAGGGGCCCACATCTGTAAAGGGGCCCACATCTGCTAAGGACCCCAGCACGGCTTGGGTCAGTCCCCCATCAGCCTCCCCTAGCTGCACCACCACAGCTCTGCCTTCTGCTCAAAGAAGGTTCAGCCCGTCTACCGATGGCCACTTCCCAACCCCACAGCCTTGAGCCAAGAGCCCAGCTGTGCTGAGCCTGAACCTCATGTCTCCTTCGCCCATGACCACAGAGGGTCGGCCGCCAATGCGGGATGGAAATCATCCATCTGTTCCAAAGCAGAGAGACCAAAATGATCTTCTCTTGGTCCTGCTCACACATGGGCCCTGCTGAGAGGCTCCTTAAATGGAGGCAGGTGGGGCAACTCCCTGGTATGACTCTGGGGCACAGGGTGGGGTGGGGAACCCATTCTTTGGAGGAGTGAGAGGTAGGCCCTGGCTCTAGGAAAATGCACATTTCCATAACAGCATCTTTGTGGGACATGTTCAGAAAGAGAGACAACAAAAGAGAAAGGCAGCTCTCGCAGCCACAGAGGCCGAGTAAGTGGCCAAGCCAGTACCGAGCCCGACCGGCATGCAAAGGGTGAAGCTTTTAGGCAAACAGCGGCCAGTGATCTCAGCTTCCCTCAGTCCTAATGCTCCTGAAAGGCTCTCTCCCACTCCCTGTAATTGGGCATCAGTAGTTAATGCAGTATTGACTGCATTACACGCTCCCGTGCCTCCCCTCGCTAATGCCAATTGCATCACCTTGTACAGTCACTGGCTTGCTTAGCCAATAGCCGTTAAAAGCAATCCAAATCATGAATCATATGGGAAACTTTTAGCAAGACACCGCCATCCAAGGAGACAATTTACAGTTGAGTTAATCTGGGTACATTAGTGAGACATGGATTCCGGACGACAGACCAATTTATGTTGTTTCCCTGTCCCCCTTAGTGATCCATGCGGGTAAATGAGTGGAAGAATAGGGAGCAGAGAGAAGCACCTGCTTCTTAACCCAAGGCTCTGTGGGGGAGGTGGGGGGCGGGGGGAACCCATATTTATACTCTCTGCCTAGCTGAGTTTGGGCAGGAAGGGGAAGCAGCGGTACGTGCTGCTCAAGGTTTGTGATGCCCTGTTCCCAGCAGTGAAGAGATGGCTGCTGCTGGGGCTGGCACTGTAGATTCAGATGGAGACCCTTGTCTTCTAGGCACAGGGTGAGTGGCAGGCCTGGTCCCCACTCTGACAGCCTCACAAGGCCTTTCCCAGACCTCAGCAGGCAGTAGTGTCCTCTAGGCTCTACCTTCCTGTCAACAAGCTGGGGTCTCTGCCATAGAACAGCATCAGGGCCCACTTCTAGCCTCCACTCCAAGTCTAGGAAGGTCCTGGCCACACTCTGTCAGGCGAGGTCTCGCAGACCCTCTGTGGTCCAGAGCATGATGGGATATCCCAGGAGGTCCTGCTGGTCAGCACCCAAGCATTGCCAAGAGCCTGCCCTGGAGGATCAACCGAGTCAGCTGTAGAGGCTGTGCTCACAGAGGTCATTAACAATTGAAGACTCTCTGTCTGGTCCTCCTCAGGCCAGCTCCACTCTCCTTAGGCATTTTTACTTATTAAAAATGCTCTAGGAATGTCTGGCGTTTAGTTCCACAACCAGCCTGCTGCTTCCTGTGGTCACCCCAGTCTTCCCGCTGGGCCTTTGTAGAGGCAGCTTACACCCAGAACCACCCTTCTACAGCATGCACCAGAGGACACTCCAGCACCCCCAACAGGGTATCCTCAGCATCCTCTCCTGATCGGTCCCCCACAATCCAAGGCTCTCACTATTCTTGGAGGGGTCGTTTGGACCCTCTGCTTCCTGCCCCTACTCAGGGACCTCTTCTCCAATCGCTCGAGGGCTAATTTGGCTCCCTTTGTTCCCCTGGGACTGCAAACCTCCCCGGAAAGCCCACAGCTTGGTGCCAGTCCAAGTGCAGGTGCCAGAGGAAGAAGGGCCGTTTCTCCGGGAAAGTTGGAGCTGGGCTCTCTTTGCTGACAGGCAGGCCCGATGGCATTTAGCAAGCCCGGACCCTGAGTTCCAGTAAAGTAGAAATAGCTAGGCCAAGAGTAAGCGTCCAAATGAAAGCAATTAATCTTAAAACCCGAAGTTTAACCATTTGCAAAACAGATCTTTCCTCTCTGTGGTGGCCCTTCACTGCTCGACCTAATGGATTACTTTATTAATAATGCACTGTGCTTAAAAGCAAAAAAAAAAAAATTTTTTTTCTGACGATTCAATACTTCAGAAAGTCTCTTAAACCCGTTGCTACGGCAAAGCGATTGATATTTTATTATCTTTCAGAAGTGCAACATGAAAGCCCAGCAGCCCAGCAGAGCAAGAGCTTTGGTCCGCAGCAGCTGGCAGACCCGACTTCAACCAGAGGAGCCCCGGCCTCTTCCGACAAGATGCTGTCAGGTGGAGAAAAGGCATTAAGGGTGGTTAATAAGAGCCCTAAGTCCCTGCTGCAGCCAGACAAAGGGTGCAGGGCTGCAGGCCCCTGGAACACACTCCTTGGGGGCCCTAGGGGCCAATGCTGCCACCCAGCCCAGATGGCCACCTGCTGAGAGGGTTTATGTGCTAGGAAGAAATTTGGCCGCAGGTTTAGAGGGGCAGGTGAGTGGATCCAGAGCCTTTCTCCCTCCCCCAATTAAAGGTGCCAACTTCAAGGTTTCCTGGAACCAGGAGAGGCCAGACTCTAACCGGGAGTGGAGGCTGGATTTATGAGCGGAAAGGTTACTTTTGGAGGACAGCTCTAGGCTGGGCAGGACAAGAATTCAGTGGCTCCCAAGGGCTCCAGTTCTCTGCCTTCCTTGTGCTGTAATGGGCCCCAGAGCTCAGAGGTATCAACCAGAGTTGGCACCATACTGTTTAGACTACACAAGGTGGGGGACTGAGGGGCACCATGTGCTCTCCGCCACAAATCTGGTGGAGATTAGGGGAAACACATATGCCTGGGATGGTTGAGGTGCACTGAGGGCTGGAGGCAGGAGACTGGCTAAAATGACCTCCAGAGAGCCATTCCCACTCAGGGCGCATCTGAAAAGCTTTAATATCTCGGAGCTGGAGGCACTCTGGGGGGTCTGGACAGAGAGCTCCAAGACCTAGGATTGAGGTGGTGGGCTCATCTTGTTGGCATGAGACCAATCTCCCTGCCCACGACCTCCCATATATGGGCCAGGGTCTTCTGGATTTCTGACTTGGGGCCAAATAACTCTAATTTCCACACGTTCCCCATAGTAAGAGTAACCCCCAGATACCAAGGCTTCTCCAAGCCCCTCATTTTACTAAGAGGGAAAGTGAAGTCTAGAGATGAACATGACTGGTCTGAGATAACACAGGGACTTAGTGACAAAAGGAGCTAAATCAAGACCTCCTCCCTTCCTGTCTGGCCTGAGCCGAGACCCCTTCTCCTTTTCCTTCTACACACAACTGCACCAGCCTAGTCGCCTGATGGCCCGCATAGGGCTCTGGGGGAGGGGTCCCTGAAGAGAGAGGAGTACACTGGAGATGGATGTCACACCCCAGCTAGACCCTGGCAAATGGATTCTTTTGGCCAGAAGCATTTCGTTTCCCCTTCCTCTCTTACTATACACATACGGAGAAACTGCCTTCATGGGTTTACCAGTCACAGGGCTCCCCCACATGCTACCCCAGGCCAGACACTTGAAATGCCCTTCCCTGCTGGAAGTCTCAGAAGGTCGTGGGGAGACAATGGGCATCAGATCAGCACGTGGTACCAGCAAAGTGAACACCCTGTGTGACCTTGAGCAAGTCACTTAATTTCAAATTTTCACCAAAAGATTATGTAACTAGCACCACTGACCTGGTGGGCACAGGCCCAGTAGAGACTCACTAAAAGGACAGACGATGGCCACCGCAGTCACTCTAAGAGGATTCCCACTGACTCACAGAAAACCCACGTTCTCAGTTCCTTACCAGTATAAGGCAGGTGGCAGCCTGGGCACCAACAAATACATACACATCTCCCTGCAACACTAACAAATGGAACCATCTTCACCAACAGGGCAGGAGAGCCAGGGAACCGCCATTCTCCTGACCCTGGGGGGTGTGCTTGGGTCACGGGGCACCACTTGGTTTTACTTTCAAGGAGGCTGGGTTCCCCGCCTCTCTTGTGCACACCAAGGCACTTATTGCAGGGCATTCCCAATCATTGGGTATGTGGGACCACCTGCTAGTGGCCTCCAGCAAGTGGGCCCCTCGGTTCTGACCTTTAAGGCGCCCTGAGGCTCTTGACCACGGCAGATACAGGCTACTCTCGTGGGCCCCTCCTGCATGAGTGCCACTGGCCTGTAGCGGGACACTTTTTCCTATGGGCCAAACTCCCGCCTCTGCTCTCAGGAGACAGAAAGACAGTGGGCCAGCGCAGGAGGCATCTCTTCGTTCTCACCGAGTCATATTCGCGGGCAGCTGTCTCCCCGAGGGTCCAGCCGGCCTTTCCTTGGCCAGCCTGGCACCACGCACGGGGCGGGTGCCGTCTTCCCGCGCACAGCTCGCCGCAAAGCCCTGGAGTCCGATTCTCCGAAGCCACCGATTTGCTCAGGCGCTCAGCGCCTCTCGGGTTACGCGGCGGTGTGAGGGTGATGGCTGCGGTGAGAGGAGCAGCCGCAAAGACGAAACACTCCGCGCGAACGGCCGTTGCGCGGAGATCGGAGGGGAGCCGGAGCCTCCCTGCGGCCCGCAGAGCACCACCCAGCCAGCGTGCAGCTCGCCTGCCCGCCTCCCGGGTCCGGGGGAGGGGCGCGCGGCCTGGGACTCACTCACCTCCCTCCTCCCAGCCCCGCGGCCCCACTCCCTCGGCCCCAGCCCCCAGCCTGCCGCCCTCCTGGCAATCCCAGCACCGCCTGGCAGGTGCGCGCCGGGGTCCCGGCGTGTGTGTTTCTGCGCGCCACGGTTAGGGGGCAGGGGGCGCGGGGCGTCGGGACCCCCGCCCGCCACCTACCGTCCTCCTTGTCCAGCACCATCATCTCGGGCGCTCCGTGTCCAGCGGAGCTCGGCTCGGCCGGGAGAAGGGAGCCGACTCCGGGAGAAGGGAGCCGACTCCGGGAGAAGGGAGCCGACTCCGGGCGCGCTTCTGTGGGGCAGCCGGTCCTCGGGCAGCAAGCGGGCTCTAATTACCCGCTTGTCCGGCTCTTAACCTAGATTGCACTCAGCTAGAATTACATTCAGGAGTGAAGCACTTCGCAGATACAAAAGCAGTCTCACCTACTTTTGTGCCTCAGAATTGCAAGGAACTATGAACTGNTCAGGATATTTCTTTGTAAATATTAATTTTTCTTAAAAAGAAAGGGAGGGGGCCGGCAGAGTGGCGCGATGGTTAAGAACTGGCTTGGGATGCCAGAGAGCCCCGGTTCAGATCCCACATATGAGGGCCAGTGACACTGCCCTCCACAAAAATAATTAATTAATTAATTAAAAAAGAGAAGATAAAAACATCTATTTAAAAAAAGAAAGGGAGGGAGGAGGAGGGGAGGGATGGAGGGAAAGATAGGAGGGAGGGAGGGAAGGAAGGAGAGAGAGAGAGAGAGAGAGAGGGAGGGAGGGAGAGAGAAAGAAAGAGAGAGAGAGAGAGAAAAGAGAGGATCAGAGCCGATTCTTTGATTCTCACCTTCTAAATGGCTCAATTTGCCCAGTATAATCTGTCTTAATGTAATTGCATTTGATAGCTCATAACCCTGGCTCTGGCAACGACACAGCTTTCAGCCTCATAAAGTGTTTTCACCTCGGATTTAATCTGAATCTCAATCTAAAATTATATTCAAAGAGATGGGGGAATCTCGGCGGCCGTCTCCCGCTGCCTTTCTCCCTCAATGTATGAGGTTTGCACTCCTGCTACTGAATAAATGCACACATTTCCCGAGGCCCCCCTCCTTCCCGGGTTAATGGGGAGTGGAGACGCGCGGCGGCCCGGCTCCGCAGCGCCACCTGGAGGCCGCTCGGCCCCAGCTCGGCTCTGGGCTCTGCTCAGGACCCAGGGCCCTCATCTCTGAGATTTGTATGGTGCACCACCAGTCTGTCACGCCCAGCCTCATAGCCTCGATTTCTGCTCCCCTCCCACCCAAACATTCTTTCCCTGACCTTCTACCCTCCCTTCCTACCTGCTCTGCCTCTAGGGTTTCTGGTTGTTTCCTGGATTGTTTGGCAAAGTTAACCCTCTGATGGACACAAACTCTCCCACCGTCTGCGTCTCACAGGACCACCTTTACTCTAGCCATCCCCCCAAAGCATCCTGATTCCATAGAGAGCAGTATCCTGTCTCAACTTCTCTCTGGGTAAGCACAGCATGGCCTTCTCATTCCTCATCCTACAATTATTTATTGAGCATGTACTATGTTCTAAGCACTTATTTTAAGGCACTGGGATACAGCAGTGAACAAAGCAAAGATCCCTGCTGTTACGGAATTGACAATTCTTGCTCTGTAACTCAGGAGGCAGGAAGGGAGACAGTGTCCAGCTACTCTCCTCCTGAAACCACTTCTCCCCACAGCCCTGGGGCTAGTGACCAGGATGGCTACTCCAGGAAGGCCACTCTTAATAATCAAGAGCTTTTTTTTTTTTCCCTTGGAAGTACAGAGTTCCAGGATGACATGGAAATCTTAATGGCTTTTCTCCAGCCCAAGGAGGGCTCCAGACAGATGTGTTGGAGGCTCAATTCCAGCAGTCACTTCTGAGGACTAGATCCAGGCAAGGCTAAGGACGCTGGAGTTCCTGAAGGGGCAAAGGGCCACCAGCTGGGGTTGCATTCTGTCTCTGCCTATTGCTAAGGTGGACCTTAGCAAGTCACTGTCTCTCTCTGGGCCTCAGTTTCCTGGATGATAGAGTGGGACACCTGCTCTTTTATCTCTAAGTTTGCTATGGGGACAATGTATGTGAATGTGCTCTGTAAACCGCGGCACCCTGGACAATGAGCGGGTTTACTGGGTACAAAGGAGACCTGGAGGCCAGGCCATGCCCCTTAAACCCTGAGAGGCCCATTGTAGAGTACTTGACAGTGGTGGGGAATGGGGGAGCTGGAGCAGTGCTGCAGCCGGTCTTCCTCTATTCTAGGCAGGGAAGTCTGGCTTTTGAGAAAACAGGAGAAAGGCTGCTTCTAATGAGATGCCTCATCCGCAGCTCAGAGGGTTTCGCTTTCCCCTTCATCTTGAATACTTAATCCTAATAGTCCTTGAGTATATTTGATGTTAAATATATCATTTTGCTCAGCCTGACCGTCCCTTAGGACTGTGAGCTTGATCTCTCCCCTGCCACTGCAGCCCGAGCTATACCTTGAGGGTGTGAGGGAAGCTTTGGCACTGCTGCCACTGGCCCATTTAGTGTGAGCCCCTCACCCCAGCCTGAGCTGGGGGGCCAGTGTAACAAGCAATGGGCCTGACAAGCTGGCAAAGAGCAACGTCTTGCTGTAGACACCTCTGTGCAACCAGGAGACATTCACTCCACAAGGGCTGCAGCTTTACTCCTGACCTCCAGGGCTGCTTCTCACTTTCAGGGTCTGTCCCTGACCCACAAACCAGGACTTGACTCGCTGGGGCCACTTTCCCACTTTCTCTTGTCCATGTGCTGTGCTTGGGGCTCTGTCCCAACACCAGCTTCCCCAGCCTCCAATGTACCCAATTAACAGCCACACAGCCAGCGTCCCTCTGGGGAGTCAGGAACCCTGTGCCCCAACCCAGGGACTGGAGCAGGCCTGGGGCGCTGATCAATGGGCTACAGCAGCAGGTTGGGTATGTCAGCAGGGATTGGTGCTGAATGTGAAGGGCTGCTTGTGCCCACAGGGAGCTCTCTCTGCACTCCCAGTTGTGAGTGAGCATTGAGCTCCCACACTGATCTAGAGAAGAGCCTCTACAGAGGCCTTCTGATTTACAGAGCTAGCTAGCTAGCTAGCAAGTCTTAGAGGGCTTGGGTGATGGTAGCTCTCAGCCAGGAAAGGTCCTCCTGGGTTGGCAGAGCCAGACATGAACCTCACTCATCCAGTGGCCTCCCTCCTCTCAGTTCATGGGTAATTGCTGAGCAGGCCAGTAACTCCCATGCCCATGTTCACCCCCACCCAAACTGCCTCCAGGTCCAGGGCCACGCCCACAACACCAGGATGGAATGCTCAGATCCCTGGGGCTGGGGGAGGTCTAGCTTGCACCTGACACATTCCACAGGTGATGAGCACGTACTCTCACTTCACACTGCCAAGAGTGTGCCAAAATGCCCTTGAAATGCCTCTGGGGACAGCAGAGGAAGGCCACTTAATCAGCCCTCAAGGTTATGGTGAGGAGAAAGAGGGTGCTACTGGCTGCCTTACAAAGTTTTGGGCAGGTCCTAGCAGTTTGTCACTGCACCTGGAAGGAAAGTCCTGAGGAAGGGTTCCTGAATTGGGTTTTGGAAAGGGGTGGAGAAGACTTGGTGCCCGAGGGCCTGGGCAGACCAGATATTCCAGAACTCTTCAGTGGAGGCTGTCAGAAGTGCCTCCACCTGAGGGCCCTGCTCCCAACACGGTGCAGCTGTCTCCAAGATGGGGTTACAAGCTGGTCTCACAGGTCATGTTAGGAGAGGTATTCAAAGTGACAAGGGCCCCTTCCCTGTGGCCTCCACAGTTGACAGGACAGAGTGAACCTACAGACTTTGCACTACCATCAGAATGCCTGTGGGCCAAATTCAGATGCCCTGCCCTGCCCTGCCCCCTACTCACACAAAAGCAGCCCATGCACAGGAATTTGCAACCAGCTACAGTGGAGAAATGCAGTCAGCACACTTTTCCTCCTTTGGTTTCTGGAAGCCCTAGACAGGCCTCCTAGGAGTTGCAGTTATAGTTCATTAGGTCTTGTGGAGGCCTAGGCCAAATCCACACCCCAGAAAACCAGTCTCTCCCACCCTCTTTGTTGAAGGTCAACCCACCCCTTGGCCTGAGAGGGTTGTGGATGTAAACTGACCAACCGTCCCAGTTTGCCCAGGACTGAACAGTTTCCCAGGATGCAGGACTTTCAGTGCTAAAACCTGGACTGTCCTGAGCAAACCAGGACAGTAGATCACTACAGAGGGAGGTGGTAGGGTAGGACAAGGGACTAGCGGAGCCAGAGGGCAAGAACAGGCAGCTAGACCTTGCCCTGCAGACCAGCAGCTGCCTCCCAACCCCAAATTTAACAGCCTCCTGCCTCAGGGCTTCCTCTCCCAGGCAGTAAGGAAGCTGCACTAGCCCCTAAGGATGGTCCATGGACCAGCAGGGCTGCGAGGTCGTTTGAGACTGGCATTTAGAACAGGTAGGGTGTGAGAGCTGGACCCCGGGCTGGATCCAGATTTTGTGAGAGCCAAACTTACTTATTCAATTTGGGGTGGGGGCTCTTTAAGAAAAGTCATACAGGATTACCACTGAAGGACTGAAGCTTAAACTTCATTAGCTTCAAGGTAAATCCGCCCCTGATTTGGCTATATGGCCCACCTATCTACCCTAGCTAGCCGGGCACCTCCAGACACGCTAGGCTGGGGGAACTGATGGTGAGCGCCCTCCCCAGCCCTGCCAGAGTGAAGCAATGTCACCCATCCCGCAGCTATGAAGTTCCAGACCTGAGGGGCCCCAGGACTGTGCTGATTTGACTGCACCCTCACTCCCAGGTTCTCTGGGCATCCCCCTGGGGGAGCCGTTTCACAGTCGGGTGCAGAAGGGGAGACGTGCAAACACCCAGGGAGACTGGAGCCCTGGGCTGCGAGGGGGGTGTGGGGAGGGGGCGAGGGAGCAGTGGGTACTGCGGTGAAGCCCGCGGCGCGGGTCGGAAAGGCACTCCCTATGCCTGCAAGGCAGCAAGAGCCAGCGAGAAAGTTCCTGGCCGGAGCGTCCGAGGCTAGCGGGCTCTAGGTGGCCGGTGGGGCTTCCCTATCCCTCTGAGGAACCTCGGGGGCTGAACCTGGCACCCCCGCCGCACAACCTCGCGCGCACATCCAGCCGCCGCTTCCGGGAAGCAGCTCAGCGGCTCAGCTGCTCAGCCGCCCGAGGCGCCGGGGCCCGCGCGGGGGGCGCTGCCGCTGCGAGCGGGGTGGCCTCGGCAGGGCCCGCGCCCCACGCCCCGCACATTCCCGGGAACCTACCGTCCTCCTGGTCCAACACCATGGTCCCCCGGCGGCTCCAGCCCGGCCCCCGCCGAGGACAAGGAGGACGCGCGGGTCGGACTCCACCGCCACCCGCTTGCGCTGCTTCTGCCGGCCCCGCGCGGGCTTCGCGCCCCGCGAGCGGCGGATGGGGGCGGGCGGACAGGCGCCGGGAGCTCAGCCCCGCGGGCAGGGAGCGCAGGAGGGCGGGGGCGCGTCTGCGGGGCGGGTAACGCCGGAGCGGCGCGAGCGGCCGCTGCCGGGAACGGGCCGGAGACGGAGCCGCACGCCCGTCCTCTCTCCGCGCCCGCCGCGCTCTCCGCAGCCGAGTGCAGCCTGCGTTTCCCAAGGCCCCTCAGATTCCCCTGTTAATTAAATCAATTCATTATGCTCAGATCTGATTAGCGGCCCTTCCCCCCTTTGAATCAATTATTCAATACACAAACATAATTGCTTGGGCCAGAGGTGCCCGCCATTAGCTTATTTAACTCCAAGGACACTAATTACCCGCAGGGCACGGGAACTTTTCTCATTAATTCTGACAAAACACAAAAGCACAGCCAGAGTGTGTGCGTGTGTGTGTGTGTGTGTGTGTGTGTGTGTGTGTGTGTGTGTGTGTGTGTTTGTCCGCATGCCAGAGTGAGGGCTGTGTATGTGAGCTGAAGATGAGACTGGGGTGGTGGAATGTGTGCGATTGCGAGTGGGAGTTTGGGGGTGTAGCTCTGAATCTGTGACCCTATCGTTGTGAGTGTGGTACTCCGTGCGTGTGATTGTGAGGGAGAGACTGTCTGCGTGTATCGGGTTGGGTGTGGCTCTGGGTCTGGGAACTGTGGGCCAGAGTTTGAGACCCAGCACAGGAATGTATGCGATTGTGTGAGGGCTTCTGGGTGTGACTTTGTGAATGTGACTTCCGGGCTACAGTGGCAGGCGCCCCCACCCTCTTTCTTTTTTCATAATTGCCCTGCCCTTGCCCGCTGAAGGCTCAAACGACGGGGGAAAGTGTAGACTACAGAAGAGAAACCAGGAAGGACCAAGAGGCAGTAAGTGGGTGGGTGATGCTGGAACCAGGCAGGGTCCTCCTTCCCCCATCACTTGTGTGTGCACTGGCTGGGCTATGCTCCTTCTCGCCCCAGTTATAAACCCCAGGTTCCCAGTACCCCCTTCCTTGGCCCTCTCACTGCCCATCCCAATATTTTTTCCTCTCCACTTTTATCCCAAATCCTTGCGCGCGCGCACACACACACACACACACACACACACACACACATTTCCACAAGTGCCTGACACTGAGGCACACCCCAGCCCACTTCCATCCACCCTATGCCTAGTTCTTCGCCTCCTTGTCTGCAAGGCTGAACAGAGAGTGTGCCTATGGTTGACCAACTTCTCCACGTTTTACCTCCCAGGAAATCTCTATTGAGAGAGAGGAGTGAGAGAGCCCACAGAAGCAGGGACACAGAGGGTAATTGATTCCCCCAAATTAGGTTTCTGCTTTCTAAAGACCGGCATTGTTCCTGTTCTCAATGTGCACAGAGGTATTGAAGATTTCCTTTTTGTTTCCTCGGGCAATGAATGAGCTTAATCCATTTGGCTTTATAAATCAGGAAACTAATATTCGCTCCTTCCATAGCAGCTTTTTAAAAAATTTAATTGCTGGGGGAGGCACAGTTTGTCACCCTTATGCTGTCCCCAAGCCCCCACTTATAAAAACACATTCTGATTGAGGGGTGGAGAGAAGGCTGGTGGGGGAGGGCTGGTCCTGATTCCTCCTGCCCTCCTCCATCCTTGTACATGGACCCACACAGTAAGTATCGGGGAAAGTTTGTGAAATTATTGAAATATATTCAATCCAGTGAAGAAAAGGGGTGTGGGGGGGTGTTCAGAGGTGCTCTTCAGAATGACCTCCCAAACCTGCGGCTCAGTCTCCCACTAGCACTGAACATAGCCACACCGTGCCCCGGTTTGGCAAATCCTCCTCCTCACCATCCTGCACAAGCATCTACAGTTATCTTCCTGGTGCCAAGATCTGACCCTGCTACTCCCCTGCTCAAAATCTTCCAAGGCTCCCCATTATCCACAAGACAAAGCCCCAACAATTATCCTATCATTTCAGGCCTTTCGTGAGATCTGGAGACGGCTTTGTGAGCACCATTACCCTTCATTGCGATTCAACTGATACATATTGATCAACAGAAATCTTACACTTCTGCCTCCTCTGCACTGCATTACTGCAATTAAACACACCCTGTATGTTCCTGCTCCAATAACTTTTCTCATGGCACCCCTCCGTTTAGAAAGCCCTTACCCACCTTTCAAAGTCCTCTGAGGAAACAGCCCCCCTATGTTTCTCTAGGTGGGCATCTCTGTGTGAAGGCTTGGGTGCTGAGTGGTGTGTGGATTATTTCATTGAATTCTGGGGGATAAGATCAGCCCCTGAGAGCATGGTTTTTGTTCTTCTATGGAGTTGAGGGACAGTATGGTATCAAGAGACTCTACAGTAATACCTTGGTTTGCGACCATAATTCATTCCAAAAACAAACTACTCGTATTGCAAGACATTGCTCGTTTACCACATTAAAATGTATTAGAAATGTTTGCTCATCTTTCAGAACACTTGCAAACCAAGTTACTTGCAATCCAAGGTTTTACTGTACTGGGTCATGGAGAAAATGGAAACTGCAGAGGCAGGGGAGGGATTTAGATATATGAATGGAGGCTCAGAAGGAGAGACCTTGGGCACTATCCTTTTCCCCAGGATCTCAGATGGCAGGGGATGAGAACCCAGGCATGTGCTTCCTCTGGAGGCCCACTAGTTGGATCTCCATGTGGTTTAGTTCTCTGTGTAGCTGGCATAGCTTCTGCCTCAATTGGTGCCCTGCACTAGGACATCTGGCCAAGGGGGAAAAAGAGGGCTGAAATTCTGTCCTCTCTTTGCTCTCCAAGCCATGTGCCTGGCATGGGCTGTACCCTCCCAGAGAGGGCAGCTTTTGCTAATTTGCACAAAGGCACCACATGGACTAGTATGGCCCTGCAGTTGGGTATCTCTGCTTGGCCGGAGTTCACACTCAGTTCAGCCTGAGTGGAGAGTACCTGGCCTCACCTGCACTAGTCCTCACTCGCACCAAGGGCCTGTGTGAGCTCTTAGAAGACCAGCCTCCTGGTTATCATAGAGAAAGAGAAAATTCAGGGAGCTTAACCATCATGGAGTGGTCAGAAATACTGAAACAGATGCCCAGCTCCATCTCTGAATTTATATGGGGCCCCAAGCCTTGGTAAAAGACACTGAACTTCATCTACAGCTGAGATTCAGACATGGATAGATCTGCTGTAAGGACTGAGGTCCCCAACAGGGGCCACACTGGAGGAGAGACAGATTCCTGAGACAAGATCCTCATGGTGGGGGCAGGGGGACTAGACTGATCAGCAAAGCCTGGAGTTTGGAGAGGCAGAGCTGGGCCTGACCTACTGCTAACCAGCACTCTAAGAAGAGAGCAGTGGTGCAAGTGAGGAACTAAGTCACTAAGGACCCTACAGCTTTGCTATGGGACCCCCCTCTGAAAGAGCTGGTCACTAAAAGCAAAAGGTATGTCCCTGCTAGGTTGAAAAGGACAAGAGCAGCTAAGGTCAGCAGTTTGGTGGCATTGGCAATAGCACATGCATGGAATGGATGAAAAGATGCAAGAGCATCGGACAGCTGCTCTAATTATATGAGCTATCATATAATTAGCATATCAACCTCACCTCCCAACTCTGGGATGTTAAGAGAGAAAATGACTTTATTCAAAAATCTAGTTGTGTCCAGAAGGTACTTGGGTTGTATGTGTAAACCTTCTTAGAATGTCTCACAACTGTTTGGAGAGGAGGATCCTGAAGAGGAGAACCAGAGCCTCAGAATTTGGGGCTAATTATTGTAAATGTGTGAAATCTGGTGTAGTTACATGACGGGCATGAGGAGAAAGGCTGTGTGACCAAGAACAGGCCAGAACAATAACAGAGGAGCAGCCCCAACTGTCAGCTTTGACTGGTGGCAGTGGAGCTCAGCAGGAGATGCAAATGGCACTACTATATCAATGCCAGGGAGACCAAAGGCTTTACTCCCACTGCCCCTCCTAGCCTGGAGGGCCTCCTGAACCCACACTTGCCCGCCCATGAAAGAATCAACTTCTTTCATTCCTCTTCTCTTCTCTCCAGCCACCTGGTCCACCTGTTCCATTGCAGTCTCAGCAAATGACATCACCTCCTTCCTTACTGAGATGAGAGAAGGCACTAGACAGGAAGGCCCGCCTCCTCCGACCTCTAAGTCTAGGCTGCTACCTTCACTTTCAGCATCTGCAGTAGGCTCCTTGTCACAAACACCTTCCCTCCTGAAGCACTGGAGAATATGGCCTTCCTCCTACCTAGGTTGTAGCCCTCAGCATGTGCTCTGGCCCACCTGCCACTACTACCAGCAACATGTCGCATTGGCTCTACCCCTTCCCTTCAGTCTCCCCGTCCTGCTGAACCTTTCACCATAGCAAGCAAACAAACTTGGGTCAAGCAAACAAATGAATTCTCTAGACCGCACATCTGCCTTGAGATACTTCGCCATCTATTCCCCCTTGTTGTCGTACTTCCTCACCTCCACGCTCTCCTCACCTGCTCTGACATTAGCCTCCACAGGCTTGCCAAGGTCACCAGTGACTTTTATGTCACTAAAGGACTATTTTCAGCTGTACCTGACCTGACCTCTCTGCTTTTAATGTGTTTAATTCCTTTCTTCTTGAACATGTTTCTTCCCTAGACTAACATATTCTCTGGGCTTTCCTCCTACCCCTATGGATGTTCCTTTCAGTCTTTATTGCCAGCTTCACCTCTTGCATCCAACCTTTAGCTGTTGGCGTTCCCTAGGACTGGGTCCTAGGCCTTCCTGGAGCACCTTCCCCTGGGATGCCATCCACGGTGTCAGTGTGTGTGACCTTTACTCAGGATCACTCCTTTGAGTTCTACTCCGGCATTTCCAAATGTCCCCGTGACATGTCCACTTAGATGTCTCAAAGGTATCTTAATTTTAAAATCCAAATTGAACCCTTGATTTTGTTTCCAAATCTTCTTCATCTTTTTTCAGTAAATCAGCCATTTAGTTTTTAATACCAGAAATCTGGGAGTAAAGCAGGATTTCAACCAAGTCAGCAAGAGTAGGGAGAGAGAGAGAGAGAGAGAGAGAGAGAGAGAGAGAGAGAGAGAGAGAGAGAGAGAGAAGAAAGAAACAAAGAAAAAGGGGTGGGGGGAGAAGAAACAGCAAATCCATAAAATTAGTTGGAATAAGCTAAGTATATCATGTATTACACTAAACAAA